GGTGTTGTGCTAGACAGTGATGTGATTGCCGTCTGCGGGAGCGCGCGCAGCTGCTTAAAGCTGTAGCGTCCAGATTACTTACAGCTACTTCCGTGCAACTGATATAAAATGCGGTAAGCTGAACACAGCTCCAACTGTCTGTTTGTTGAAAAATAGTAGTGGACCGCGTTTTCTTGTTAGTAACTGTAACGGCGTTGTAACGATAGGAATAGTAATTAGTTAGATTACTCGTTACTCAAAAAAGTAATGCCGTTAGTGACGCCGTTATTGTAACGCCGTTATTCCCATCACTGGTGGTGATGTCAGCATGAAGTGTGGTCTCTTGCTCCAGTGGAGGCCTTCTGCTCCCAGGTGCCCCATTAATCCTTTATGCAAGCTAATGAGCGTTCCTGGGGGAAGCTCGCAGAGGGAGACACTAGTTTTACTGCTTCATACTAAAGCAACTCACAGTTACTTATCTGCTCACTATTTTGAATTATTCTGCTAGATTTCTCTCATGTACCATGTTTGAATTAGGAAGCACAGATAGTTTATTAAGGGTGGATGCAGGAAACAGCCAGCCTGACTCTGTCCTGAGATTAAAAAATGCATCTGTTGACAGCTCTAAATCTCACTGATTAACACACTATATCACTTTTGCTCAGCATGAATTGAAATAAAGTTAAAAAGGGGAATTTTGTGGTTGTTTGTTTCACTTGGCTCTTTATTTCTCCTGGCATTAATTCCTGCTGTGTTACAAGTTTGTCGATGAAAACCTGCCAGGTTTAACTCATTATACCTTCCTCCTTCCTCTAGTTGGGCCCTCTGCTCCAGTAGACCAACATTTAAGTTTTCCTTTCTGGTGCCTAAACAGTTAAATTGTTAACCTTATATTCTTGATCTGTAGACTGTCGATGCTGTGTATCCTATAACCGTAGATGGACGTGTCTATGAAATCAACTTAAAAAGAACTGTATTATGGTTTTAACACGCTTTTATGAATAGATCTTTTGAAAGAAATTGCCATTAAAACTTGATGTCTGTAAACTGACCAAGTATAGCTGATTTATTAATAATCTACAGCTACCTTTTGGTCCTCTGGTTCCAGCTTCTCCATTGGAAGTATTTGCTGCTTTCTTTCAGTCTGGGCTGATTTTCTGTTTTCATAAATTCTTCTTCAATCTTAAAATGCATGAAACTATGACTGATTACCACCAATTTCTGTGATGTTGGAGAGCAAACAATAAATTAGTCAACAGAGGAAAACACTTGGCAGATTAACCCTAATCAGAACAATAAGAAATAAATAAGCTGCAGTTCTAGTGCCAAATAATTTTAATTCTAATGAGCAGTTATGTAAATTGTTTAGAAAATCTCATCAAAATGCAAATGAAAAACATAACTAGTCTGATATTGCCATCTGCGTTACTAACGATGCAAACCGAATGTGTGATAAATATATAAAGGTTCCACTTATTGCTAAATATTAGCCAGTAAACAGCATTTATTACACAAACATTACAGTACATCGTTATTTTGAAGAGCGAGCACTCGGCAGCCGACACGCATGCGTCCTGGAGCTCCGTGCAGGCAGCGGGATGTAGCGCCGCTGCTGTGGCTCAGTGCGCACCGAGCATCCAGAGCGCACGGTTACAATGAGCTTCCCCATCGGTCCGACTGAGAGCCAGCGTCAGTACCGACATCCCAGCAGCAGACACACCGCCACAGACACCAGCTCCGTCCGCCCGCAGCAGGATGCCCGGGGGAAAGAGAGGGCTTGTGGCACCGCAAAACACTTTTCTGGAGAACATAGTCCGGCGTTCAAGTGGTGAGTCCACGCGTAGGAGCGAAGCTTGCTTTGGGTTTGGTTTTACCAGATCGCTTGGACCAGGACTTTGATGGAATACAGTGTGTGTGTGTGTGTGTGTGTGTGTGTGTGTGTGTGTGTGTGTGTTTTATATCAGTGCAACGAGGGAGGTTTGGAGGATATAATCACATAAAGTCACTTTATACCTGCATTTATTTGTTTGCTCCCCGTGTGAGGCAACGTGAACCCAATATTATTCATCAGCTGATGCCCGTCAAACCCAAGCAAGAGATAAAAAAGAAGCTGATTTCAGAAATGAGAATATTTTCCAATCACATTGGATTTTGTTTGCGTTAAGGTCCCTCAACAGTTACAGTTTACGCATCGCCTTTAACTTTTCATGTTAAATTATTGAGTTTATGCGAGGCCATTATGTCGCCAGTTTTTTTTAAATAAAGTTTTTTTGTCATAAACTGAAGTTATTATTATTATTATTATTATTATTATTATTATTATTATTACACGGGAACAGACTGAAAGGACTACACAGTGGTTTGAATTTTTTATAGCATGCTCCGTCATGTAATGCTGTATCTGCGTTAGGTTTAGTTAGACAGAATGAACGATCTGCCTGGTTAAATAATAAAAACGTGCCCCCCTTTCCTTAAATTGCTAGGTATTACTCTGCATCACTGTTGACTGCTTTTTTTGTGTTGTTTCTGCACGAGAGGGAAAAAAGCTATCTTTCTCGTAAACTGCGCCTTGTCTTGGCACCGGCCTGAAAACGCGCTCTCGTCTCTATTAGATTGATTGCTTTCCTTTATCTTCCCAAAAACGTCTGCCGGGTAATTGGCCGGAATGACTTGTGAACTGAGGAGGTTCAGGCTGTGTGGTGGTATTGAGGTCAAAAAGATGGTTCCGGAAAGGTGTTTCTGTCGCTTGCCCTTAGTCAAAAAAAAAAAATTGTTGTAGTTTCTCTCGTGTTATTTCGTTTTTTTTCTGTTTAAGAAATCACAAATGAAACTGTCTGGGATGATGTGAGTAGCAAAAGATGTTGATGTTGTACATTGTTCTCTGGCCTGTCAGCTCCTCCACACCTCAGGATTGATCTCAGGATGGAACAAAATCCATCACCGACTGTTTCAGTGCACCTTGGCATTGATTGTCCAAGTCTCTGATGCTCTGCTGGAGTGCTGGAATATTTTTTTCCAAAACCATATTCATTTGATATTTGATATTTTAATTATGGTGGAGGAGAGTGCTGTCACATAAATCCGAAATCTCCCATAACTATTCAACTGAACCGAGGTTAGTGACTGCAAAATTCACAGCACCTGGCTCACATCACTTTCAGATTTGGTGTTTATGTGCCCTATAGAAGTGAGCGTGGTCATCGGTAACACTGACAACTTCACCAGTGCCAAAATGTTCTGTCCCAGGATAAAAGCCTGAAAACACGCCAATCACTCTTCCATCAAGGGCACAAGGAGAGCCAAAAAACCAGCAAAATTCAAATTTACGTTTTACATTTACAAATGTAAACTTACATTTAAATGATGACAGCAGCCGAAGTGTGTTTATGTAGAACTTCAGTGAGTAATGATGGGTATACAACCCCAATTCCAAAAAATGGATCATGGCTTCTTCTTTGCAACCTGGATTTGTGGCTGGCATGGTGAACTCTGCTCACAGACAACGATTTCTAGAAAATGATGCTGTGATTTCCGACAGCATCTCTTTCAATTCCGTTCTACAGTTTATAGACATTGTTTTTTTGCAGATTGAGGTGAACCTCTGCCTATCATCACTTCTGAGAAACTCTCCCTCCCTAAGATGCTAATTTTATATCCAATCATGGTACTGACCAGTTAACAAAAGTTCCTTTAGCAGTTTGTTTTACTTTCCAGCCCTCTGCATGTTCTGTTTCACTTAATCTATGAAACGTCGCTGAAGCCTTCTTTGTTTGCTCATGCATATCCACTATCCCTCCTCTGCACATGTCCAAACCATCTCAGTTTTGCCTCTCTAACCTCTACTCTTCATAGCTGCCATCGATTCCTCCTTATTGTTCCTCTTCACTTCCTTATTCGTTAACTTTCCTCCATCCACCTTTGTCTCTATCTCATTTACTTCATTCATCAGCTCCTCAAAACACTCCTAACATTTTCTCAGGACACACGCTTCACTCATTAGTACATTTCCCTCTCTATCTTCAATCGCTCTAACCTGCTGCTCATCCTTTCCGGCCTGAGCTCTCTGCCTACCCAGTCAGTACAAGATATGCAAATCACAGCATTCTGTTTTGTTTTATATTTTAAAAAGCATCCTAGTTTTTTGGAGTTGGGGTTGTATTTCCAGCTGGAAGCTGAGTACTGCTAAGCAGCTCCTGTCATTTTTAAGGACATTGGAATGTGTTGGTAGGATGAGCTCTTACAGCACAACGGATTAAAAAAAACAAAAGACTTTAAATGTATTATTTCTTTCATTTGGCTTTAATAAAAATTAAACAGTAACAAGTTTCATAGCCTGTCACACAGTTCTCTGAAAATTAAATCAGAGCTGTTAACTTTGGAATAATCTATTAAAAGTGGGTTTTAATAAAGTCCCACGATGGCTTTAGTTTTTCTTCAGGTGCTCCCGTGGTATCTGCCTTCAGGCAGCCATACTGGGCAGATACCACAGTCCAGCTAACAACTTGGCTGGGATGAAAGAGGAGAGTGGGAAAAGGTCAAGATGATTCAATGTGTTTTTTGTGTGTGTGGCATTAAGTCTTAGTCAGCACTTTAATTTTAAAGAGCCCACAGGAGGCTGCAGTCATCAGGTTTCAGGCTTAAAACAAGAAGGTGATAAATTAAGTAACTCCCGTTCCCTTTAGTGCTGAAAAATCTGTTAAGTAATTGTTTGGAAAGTGATGCAGAGAACAGATGAGGCTGATCTTGTTCCGGACTCTTCTGTCCATCTCACCCCTTACCCATGATGCTCTGCGGATTTTTTGGGGGATCATTTTTCAGCTCCATCAGCACGTGAGCCTGAAGCATTTTGCACTAAATTAAATAAAAAAGTTATTTTAATCAAATGCCTGTTTCAAACTAAACTTTTGGGTGAATGAAAAATCTGGAGATGTTCTCCTGTGGGTGGTGCCAGAGAACACATCATATTAGGCTCAGTGGAGATGGTGGAAGGTGGACAAGACCAGGTGAAAGTCTCAGATGTATTGGCAACCCATAAGTTTTTTCAGTTGTTCATTTACTAGATTGTTAGTGCAGACATCTGAGACTCGTGTAAGACTTGGCTTAGTTTTCATCAGTTCGCTGAACTCTGAATAAGATTTGAGGTTATGCTTTGCTGAGCTGATTATAAGTGAACTTACACCAAAAGTCCTCCTAGAAGCAAATTGTTTGTTTTTGCTTTGTGCATTTAAAAATCTTCAGTTTTCCTGAAACCACATACCACATTTCCATTTTCTGTAGGGTGTTTGAATGTTCTCTTGGGTACTCTGGTTTTCTCCCACAGTCCAAAGACACGCAGTTTGTGGGGTTAATTGGTGGTTCTAAGTTGGACGTAGGTGTGAATGGTCTGTCTCTCTGTATAATCCCACCTCTTGCCCTATGGAGCAGGGACAGGCTCCACTACGTGGAAGTGGATTGATGGAAATTTCCAGCTAATCTGGTGTTGTGGGACATTGATTCAAAGGTTTTATTTCACACAAATAATATCCCTGCTGAGCTCTAAAGAACCCACTCTATACAGTACTTGGATTTTCTTTTCCATTGAATCCAGGAAAAAAAAAAAATAGTTACAGTGAAGTTTAAAAATATTATCCGTGATGCTTCCACAACCACAAAAACAAAATTCAAGGTGTTTTTACAAGCCATGTCCTGTTTGGATATGGCCTTCCACTCCTCATTTTTCATGTTGTAGAAGCGCTTTCTCATAACAGGAGGGGCTGTTAAAAGAAAAAAACTTCTCTTCTTATAGCAGGAAAGAAAAACGTGTCAGTGGAGACATAAAATCAGTGAGAATATCATTTAAAAAAAAGTCCCTGAAAACCAGCCCCAGGTGATACTTTGACTGTCAGCCTGCTGTTACGGCTTCATGAAGACAGTTAATATTATAAAAGGTCACCGTTCCCCTTTGAATATACTTGCACACTTTCAAATGCCATCTATATGCTTTTCCAGTATGTCTGTGGTCACATGATCATTGCAAGGCGTTCAGCTGATGAGTTTTAAAAAAATATACAATTGTTAAAAATCAAATATCACCCAGTCAGTGCTGGCAGGCCAATGCAGTGATAGAGGTTTTCCCCTGACTACAGCAAGAACGTTTTTATGATCGCTTTTTTTTATCATTAGATGGCTGACTGGTGAAATCAATAGAGTGTGCTGCTTGAGGGTTTTACTCATCAGTCTGTAAATGGCTGAAAGAGCTGCTGACACACCTTCAACAACTCATCCGCTCGTGTCTCACTGCAGAAATTTTATTGTCTTTCCAGAGCTTAAATGCTGTTTCACAGAGTTTTCCTCAATGCTGTAAATGTAGAACAGGTGGAAATGCTGCTTTTTGTGCATACATGCAGTCTTATTTGATTGGCTGCTACAGTATCTTTTCATCCTAAAATCCAGCCTTTTACAAGCCAACTGTTTTTATTTTGGAAGAGAGAAGTCTCTCTGAGTTACCAGGACAATATTCCTGGCAGGTGATAAGGGACATCACTGCTTTTGCATGTTCATTCCAAATACTGCTGTCTGTTTTTTGACTTCTCAGACATGTTAACCAATGAGTTAGCTTCATAAATATCCATTCTCTTCCGCTTATTCAATTCAGGCCCACATTGGGGTTGGAGCCTATCCCAGCTGTCTTAAATCAGCGGTCCCCAACCTTTTTTGCGCCACAGACCAGTTTAATGTCAGACAATATTTGCACGGACCGGCCTTTCAGGTGTCGCGGACAAATACGACAAAATAAAATGATACAACCAAGACAAAAACTGTGGTCTTTTGTAAATATAATAATAAATG